CTAATTTTAGTCAATTTAATACGCTACCAGATCTGACATTGACAGACATTTGGTAGAATAATCAAACCATGAAACGAACACAGATATTAGTAGTGCAGAATCTATAACATCTGGGCTGCGTCTTAATCGCCGGGTGATGAGTTCCGGTCCCACTTTGGGCGCCAATTTGTTACCAGTATTCACAACAGTCTAAGTTATTTATTCATTGATCTCAGGGCGGAGAACGAAGGAAAACTGTTTATTGAGTTATCGTAGTCGATTCGTTGCTGGGGCGTACTAAGGTACGTTTTTACTTACAGTGGCAAGGCGCGTTGCCAATAGTCGTGCGTTAAAATAATGTTTATTGCCCTTTTATATATGTTTGCGTTATTATATGTTAGCATGTATTATCAGTAAAAGTATTCCAATGTTAAATATTGGTTATGTTTGTTACAAACTTAGGTATAAAATGTCACATAGCATTGAAAGAAAACTAGCAATTCAATAAGTAATATTGTAAGTTAACTTTCAATATTTTGTTGTCTCAAACAAGCAAGAAGTTTTCAAATAAACAGTGCAGTAATGTGTTTAGTGAATAACATTTACTATAGAGACTCAGCTACGCGTGGAGAATATTTCTTCAAAAGTTGAACAAATAAAATACTGTGAAATACTTTATTTTAGCTGAAATTAATTTTCGCTGAAAAAGCGTTTTGGGTGTTTTGTATGGAATTTATTTTCACTGATTTTTTGCCGAGTTGAATGTGAGACAAAGGAAAAAAAGTATATTCGCTGGATCTTATTTTCATTGAGAAGCATCCCTTCAGCGAAAATATCGAAAATAAAGTATTCTACAGTAAAAGAAAATATATGTTTATAACCTGCATTTTTTGGTTATCGGGCGAGTCGAGTAGATATTACGGTAGTTAAACCACTCAAAGAGATTGCAAAATGAGGTAAAATCCCCAATTTCATTTTCGTGCCCTTCTACCGGCTTATTCCTCCTGGTTAAAATCGAAAGCATCCTAAATAAAACAGATATTCTAACAGTTGTCATAGTTATCAAATATTTGTATTTCACTTTCTCGTTCTCGTATTTCACTCATGTCGTTCTTGCCAAAAAAAAAAGAATAAATTTGTCTAAAAATTAAAGTTAATTTTGAACAGGGAACACTTTACATCGAGCAGGGATATAATAAATTATCAAATTAATGCGTACATGAATACAGCAGCGTGTCACAGTATGTATGGTCAGCGACCTCATCGGCAAATGAACTGTTTAGTATCAATCCACACGGCCTGCAAAAATTCAATATCACTTGATAGCGTACTAAATAGTACAGACGATGTAATTACCACCACGCCCCTGTGGGTTTATTTTTGGAAAGAATACATCACAAATAAACACGTTCAAGACATGGTTGTACACATGTGTATAACCAACCAAATCTACGTCTGTCTCAAATACCAACCCAATCTCTAGAGTCTCCAGAAACCTGTGACCTGCACACCTGTCACGTGCCATATTACTCATTTTGGCGCACGTGTCGGTGCTTATTGGGGTCAGCAAGGGCGCCCCCAGGGAGGTCGATATATATAACACTGCGTGGGAGTACTTTCGATGAAAGATACAAATAATACACGATGGTTGGAACAAGACACCAGAGTAACCAAACCACAAATTATTTCGGAGATGTTACGTAATCTGCTATGTTAAAATTTCCAATCTCAGAGTTCCTTAGTTTTGAGGTATGTGTTAAAATGAAGCGATAACACTGTTGATTCAAACAATAGATATCCATGACACGAAAGAGGAATAATTCTGCAGAATATCTTTGGGAGGCTCTTGGTGTATATTTTTTGTCTTTCAAAAGTGTTTGCCAGTCGTCAGTAGTTCATCCACTTGGAGGGGTCTAAGTTCACTTGGTAATATAAAGTGTGAGAAGTGTCCGCCATATTGATATGGACGCCTTAGGGAGGCTCGTGACAAATGTCATGTTCTATGCCATACTTTCATTAATATTAGTTCATACCATTAAAATACTGAAAACAAAAAAATGGGGTAATCGGATGTTTTTTGAGATTCAAGAGTTCGAAATATTTCAAATGATGGTCAAATGATTGTCATTTTACATTGGTTTATGTGGTGAGATTATTTATGCACTCCAAAATTGAGCTCGGTTAAATGGATTGAAAAAATCGTATCCATTATTGATATAAAATCTGACATTGTGAAATCATTTCAAAAAATTTACATATGACTTAGTTTTCAATATTTTGTTTTGGTTATAACGTATTGAGTAGTGCAAAATTAGAATTTGGCGTAAACTGCCTTAAATTATATTACTACATATAGTATTATTTTCTTGCGTTAAAACCACGTTCTGTGATATTAAATGGCAACAACGTTACAGCGATCTGATTGAATATAGTATGTACAAACTTGTTTCATAAATCCACATGATCCAATTTTCACTTTAAGTCGTTTTCGATTTTAGTTGATTAAATATTTTGACCTTTCTATACACATTTCTGAAAAAAAGCACTTAAAGACCTTTCCTACGCGTCAGCAGTACACATAGCTGGTACCAAATATTTGGGAATCACGTGACTGTTACAGTGCAAAATGCGCCTCGTGTTGTTGCAAATGATTTGGAAAATTACAGGTAAGATAATAATCGGTATTTTGTGTTACACTATAATTTGTCATTCCAGAGAACAGAATTTATACGCCAATATGGATTCACACATCCAGTCGTCATCTAAATATACACAAACCTCTCCTTAAACCAAAAGAAGGATGTTACACATTCTCGAAATTTGCGCATGCGCTGTTCTATCCGTGCTACAAAGTTGCGTACGTGCCCGACGGTAACCAACGCGTTGTTTATTGGCAGATTAATGTATTTGGCCAGAAGGTCATCTGATATCATATCAAATGTAATATTATACTCTTGGCAATTTCACTTTAAGAAAGAAAAGTCTCATAAATTCCCGTCCGCGACTGCCTCGATTCCGGAGAAAAGTTTGAATTCGATTTTCACAAATCTCTGATTGTTTATATTTAATCTCCACCATAAGCATTTCGATAAGCAGGGTCGATTCTCGTACGTGATGACATGTGCGTCCCACTAAGTTTTGGGTATATGCTCTTAACATTCACGTGATAAGTATGTGTGCCCTGGTATTAACTGATCGTTATTTTGTTGTGTTATGCGCACTGGCAGATTTGTCATAGTGAATGAACAAACATACTCGGAGACGAGCTCTTCGCTTTTTCGTTTCAATTTTTACTTTTGTGTGCCCCTCCGTTATAATCAAACCCCGTGTAACTGAGACTAAACAAAGTAAGACAAGGGTGTTCTGGTCGGCGTCAGTTTTCAATCAATATGAATAACATACATCATGGCTGGGACATTTACCTACTTGCGTGTTGTGAACTTCTAGATTTCCAATCTACAATCGGGCTCACTGTACAACGACTGGACGGTTCTACCGCATCGCAATGACGTTGACTGTTATGCTGTCACGCCCCCAGATAGTAGGCGACACAATTTTTATTATGAAGGAAATCATGATTAAGTGTACTCCAAAGATATTAACATTTTTATAGTTTTTAAAATGCAAGTCTTATTTGGGGTAAGTGTTATTGTGTTATTTGAGGTAAGTGTTATTCGAAGTAAGAAACTTATTTCGAGTGTTGAACCTGAACTAGATTGTCATCCTGATAACGTGAATTTAAGAGCGCCAAAGAAATGAAAGAAAGAAGCAAAGAGGTGATTTCTATCAATGAGCGGTCTGTTTATGGGCGATATTGTTTTTAGTTATTGTTTGAATTGATTGATTTGAAAATAAATGTTATTGGTATATACAAATTATGAAATAATTTGCGTGATTATAACTTCCTGCATCAATGGGGGTGGTGAGGTGCTAGTTTTTTTAGCGCGAGACTAAAAATAGCATTCCATCTCACAACAAATTATGAGCAAGTTGATAATAAAGTTGAACGTGAGTAGCAATGTGGACCAGACAGCTCGTGAAAGAAAAGTCGGTTGACAGTCAAAGTTGGAGTTGATTTGGATATCTCTATTTTGCAATTTGCTTTCAATACCGGGAAATCAGTAACTAACACCATGAGGAAAAAATCCGTTTCGATCCACATCCTCATTCCTACATAGTTGCCCCCTCCCAGTTTAAGATACACATGTAATGATGTTTTGTTATGCCCTCTGGTATTCTGGTATATGATGAGTCATGCTATGTTATTGTATTGAAAGATGATTCTTCCTCGTGGGACTTTGGGTTTCTCTGTTTTGCTTAAACACTGATACGAGAATGTCCATCTACCATCACCGCCATCAACAGCAATGATGCAACTGGCTTCGCAGTCATAAAACCTTCCGAGAATTTCAAAGTTTTTTGCAATCGCTACAGAGGGGTTAGCGACTGTGGAGATGGTAGATATATTTTAGAAAAAAAAACTCCACAGAATAGGTTTAGAAAAACGAAATTTCAGAAAAAATACATTTATAAACATTTATACATATTTTATATGAATGAAAAGCATTAATTCCCGAAACCCGGTGCAGAGGTAAACCAAAAACAAATTGCAACAACAAAAACAAAAGCAACGCCATCCTGAAAAAAAAAAACAATATATAGCTTAAAGTAAGTGAAGGGAAACAAATAATGTGAGTTTGTATAGTTTTCCCTCCCAAATGGTTAACACTATACAGTCAACTCTAGTATATACAGACATATTGGAACAATAACTTTAAGTTTATTCCAGTGCAATGTATTGGCTCCAATCCAAAAGCTGTCAGACCTATACTGGTTTAGATTACCTGGATAGAAATCGTGTAGTTTTCCCAGCACGTGTGCGTAAATCCCAGGGACCTAGTTCTGTGAATTATGAGTGTTAGGAGAGTTTCAAATTTCCCACGACTTCCTGTCTATAAAAGAAACAGACATCCACTGTCTTTTGCTCAGTCATACTTAAACTTTCCCCGTTGAAACTGCAATATGCATTTCTTAATCGCCGTCGGTTTTTCGGTGATAGTCGGCGTGGTCTCCGTGTCTTTGCCGTCCACGCATGATACGGAGAGTAAAGATGGCTATGAGGGATGGAGCTCATCCGATGCGATGGATCAGTTACAGACGGCACTCAGCAAGCAAAAAGAGGTGTATATGCAGCTACAAGAAACAGTTAAGAAATTGCAGGTGAGTGAAATTACACGTGGAAAATGCAAACTTGCCCATTTCATTGTGTTATTTCTGTTCTATTACTACATAGGCAAGCCGTCATCGGTTCACCGATTTGCCCATTGATCAAATATTTACTAAACAGGTCGTGATGTGATGGAGGACAGTAAAGCAACTAATTACAAAGTAACTCGGACGACAAAAACGTAATACAGATTAAAAGTACGCCAAGTTTTTAGTTAGACGGGCACAGATTTTTTTTTAAATTTATGAATTAAAATTCCTAATTATATAGTTTCTCGGGCTGTACTTTCATTCGGGATAAATATTTGTATATGTTTTCTTTTTGTGTTCACTATTCTAGTAATAAAGTAGCTTGGCAATCCATGAAGGGTTATGTTAATGAATAAAGTTCCGCCGCAGATATTTGAACGTATTATTTTGACCTTGTCATATTAATTATAATAACACTTTAGGTAGTTATCTCTTCGTGGGCATAATAACGGGTATATCCACTCCAAGGACGGTGAACTCTTGCTCATAAATGTGATCATGTCGGAGTAGCGACGAGCTATGAACACTAACTAGTAACATACCGTTTTAACTATCTGTCTATAAAGACGTTTAATGGGATGCACTGGAGACGAACTGCATTTTTCGAACCAGTAAAAAGTGCAACAAATGCCCGTGTATTCTTTTAATGTTATTTTGGGTAGGGTTGTTAACTACGTAACAATGAATGCTAAACTGACTTAATTTGTTCATTGTTTGGCCAGCTTCCCTATTGATTTATCATAATTATCTTTTTTTTTTCAATTGCAAAAAAAATAGAGTGCATTCTTTTCAACCCTTCGAATACAGTGATTAAGTGGCGCATGTTAATATTAACGGAGAATGCAAATTCAGGTGCCATCATCACGCGAGGCGTGTTCAAATTAAATTTCTTGAACTCAAATGTATATTACACGCGCTGCACGTCTCTCATGGTGACGACGCGAAAAACTATAACGCTGTAATCGGTTATTTGCAATACCATATAGGGGTTCGGTGATTTTTCGAGGGTACTCTGTTTTTAATTTCTTTTAATTTGATCGAGGAAGTGGATTCATCACATTTTTGCTATAATGAGGAAAATGATTTCTACCGACCAAAGCTCGGGTGTTTATGGTACGGTGATTAGAAACATGTAGACCGTTTAAGATTACGTCATACATTTACTCAAATACAACGTGGTGCCCAATTACTAGTATGAACAAATATTATGTGTTTGCGCTTCTCAGTAGACCATTAGCCGGCATCTGGTGCACGTGATATTTGGTCCGATTAAATTAGTAGCTCGTAGGCTCATCCGAGGCTTGTCTATGGCCCCTGGTTTATGACGCAAGTGTAGAAATACATAAGCCAAACCAGAGCAGCGTTATCTCATGTTCGCAGGGTCTCAAGTTAAAGGGTGTGGTCGTCGCGCCACGCATGCGCGAGATATGCGGGATATGGAACTCATATGAACAAAGATGGTGACTTTGACTGTCGCGCAGACTAAATAGTACAGACTGAGACGTTGCCAAGCTTTAACTAGATAATTTATTTGGTGATTGGAAGATATAGAAGGAGTCGGCGGAGGCAATCAGTGCTCGTTGCACCGGGGTAAAAATTCGTACTCGTGATTTTCATTAGAAAGGCGTATTGGATTGTTGGGAAATCAATGTTTATCAGAACAAATGTCGCACATGCGCGACACGACGACCACCGCCTTTAAATATGTATCTCCGATGCCGATAGAAACATATTTGGGGAAAGACAGATAGATTCAATTGCCTTTCTATATATACTGTTAGATATGTTGGTGTTGTTTAATCTAACAGGAAGAAGTAAGTGTTCTTAAGAGTAAAGATAGCGACACAATCATTGAGAAGATATTTGGGAAAGAAACTAAAGCCGATGATTTGGTCAGGCATTACAGAAAAAGGCGTGACGTAGGAGGTGAGGAATATTTTTAGTATTTTGTTAATTGCAAACTCAAAATCCATGTTATTATAAGATATTGGATGGCTCGATCCAGTGGATAGTGCGAGGCACTGCATGTGTGACAGTGTTGCCGTGCAAATATCTAGTCCTTTAATTATTTTAACTTGTATCAGATACATATTCTACAGCGAGCCCTCTGTTGGAAGATGAAGTAACGGAACTCCAGAGTCAGTTATCTGAAACGAATACACCTACATTGGGGGCGTTCATCGACCTGCTTATGACGCAAGGACAATCCCATTCGACGGCAGGGGTAGTGTCCAATGGACAATGTCTTCAAGGCCCTCCTGGTCCACCTGGTCGTGATGGACGTGATGGTAGAGATGGAAGAGATGGTACCAGCAGCGGGATACCTTTGGGTGAATTATCATCTGAATCAGGTAGACAGCTATTAAAACCTTAAATGACCATCGTCTGGTCGGCGTCGGCCGTCGTCGTCGTTAGCCGCAAACCCTAGTATGCGTGAAAGCAAATACCTTAAATGAAATAAGTGCAGGAACTATGAAAGAAAAGTTTCCGAATTTAAATATATTAAAATATACCATTCTCACTCTTCTAATGTTGACTCTTCTTTTTCAGAACTTTTGCGTGGTCCACCTGGTCCACCTGGAAAATCTGGCCCGGTTGGACCGCCAGGTCCTCCTGGTCCCGCAGGGATGTCCGAACATTATGACTACGACCAGTCACCGGTGAACAACCGTGATATATCTCAATCACAGCCTCAACAACGATTACTCGTACAGGCACCACAGACACCACAACAACCGCCACAGCAGAATGACCCCCCACAAACAGTCGACAATAATGATTCCGGGGGTACTGTCTACGTCCGATGGGGTGCCAGTGAGTGTAACTCGTCTGCGGAGTTGGTGTACACAGGTGAGTCGTTATTAAGAGTCACGGGCTTATAGTAGATCGTGGTAGATATAGTAGTATATATCGGACCGTAAAGGAAAAGATAATCGCCGATAACCGGTAATGTAGTGGTTGTTGCATCACACTAGGATCAGTAAATTTTACTTGGACTGAACACCGTCTTCGCCAGCCAAGAACCGTTTGTTTCGGGTCACTCCTCCAAACTAACTCTTAGCAGATTGAACCACTACAGTGCGTATTTAATAGGCGCCCTTAACGACAGGGGAGGAGATGCGACAAAAATAAACAGCCAATCGGCTATCTTGTATCAAAATACAGTAGAGCGGCCCAAGCATATCAGACCACGCAGTTTTTTTTAAGATAAAAAGCCTCATCGATTACCAAAACCATGCACTTTGTCACTTTGCTGACGAAGTATGCCATAAACAGCCTGCAACGTTGGCATAACAAATTGTGGAAAACTGGGTGAAAAAATGCAGCGCCGGTTTTTGGGTTTGGCAAACAACCTAAACACACTCTACACGCACGGCTACTAGAAGAATTTTGAAATAATCGTGCTACACGTCGCCATTTTCGACATTCTGTTCTTTATCTTACCGCGCAATGTTACACAGCGTCTGATTGGGCGCCTTTCCAACAGGCGCATCCAATCAAACTTGGCTATTTGTTTAACATAAAATACGCTTTTACCCAAGCTGTTCCTGCAAGTTTGGTGGAGTCGTCAATGAGTCGGCACTAACAAACCGTACGATTCGGACGATGGCTGAACACCAAAAAGGTGAACCCATGTATCGTTTCTGTGGCAAAATTGCACTAAGATGAGGTCGTTGTTACTTCACGAAGATTTTCAACGCCGCGAAATCAAAATATCGATCTTGAGTAATTTGCACATATATTCATATACAGTGTACTTTTCATTTTACAGGTGTCATTGGCGGCGGGCATTATTCACACAAGGGTAGTGGGAGTAATCATCTGTGTATGCCCGAAGAACCCATTTATGATGAACCCGTTGACGGGGTGCAAAGTACTAGCGCACGACTGTATGGGGGAGAGTACCAAACTAATCAATATGGGCCAATGTCTTCACTTATGGACCATGATCCTCCTTGTGCCGTCTGTCTTGTAAGACAACGCACCACGGTGTATATGGTTCCTGCTCGCAATGTGTGTCCGGACAACTGGACTAGGGAGTACTTCGGCTATCTCATGGCGGCGCACTATGCTCACGAAGGGAGAACAGAATTCATATGCGTGGATCGCAACGCTGAAAAACTGCCAGGCACCCATACCAGTCAAGACGGCATCCTTTTATATCCGACGGAAACAATGTGTACAACCAGCGGCGGATTGCCTTGTTCACCATACGTTCAAGGCTACGAACTCACCTGTGCTGTCTGCACGATCTAATTCCTGGGCGGTTTATTAAATTGAAGTGTTAAACTTATTTCGCAGATTTTGTGGCTGAAATACACGCGATTAAGACTTGGTCGTTAAGAGCTAAATTCGTTCTACAATATGGTTAAACCCGAATTAAAATAAAGTTAACAAACTATACGTGCTATAACGGAATATAGTTGCACATATTTCGACATTCTTC